CGCGGCGGGCCCCTTGGGCCCCGGAAACGGACGGCGAGTGGAGGCCGGGAATCCACGGTCGCCAGGGCTCGGACTGGGTTAGTGGGGGGCCGTCTGGCTTTCGACCCCGGTCCTCGGCCTCTGGCGCCCAGCCACCGCCCCTTCCGCCCCCGGCCCGGCGTCCCCCGGCTCCGCCGTTCCCGGCAGTCGGCTCTCCAGCGCCTGTGGGCCCTGCTGCCGTGGATTCCGTCTGCTCGGCCCCAGCTCTGCCCCGTACGGTGATTCTCTTGGCCCCAGCTACGGGGTGGGAACTGGTGCTGTTCCCCTTTTACTGCTCTGCGGGTCAGGTCCTTCGCTCCACTCTGCTCGTACTTATTTTGGCTCCCGCTTCATCCTGTTACCTGTTCTCTCCCACTGGTCCGCTTCCTCCCCTACCCCCGTCAGCCGGGGACTCCATGCTTTTTAGTACTTTGTACTTTTTACAAGTGGAGCACGAATGCGTTTGCCAATATTTTCCCTATAGGAATGGGGGCAGGGAGGTGGAGAATGTCTTTACCCGCTTGGCTCAATGAAAAACCCTGAAATGAGAAGGAAGAAAGTGACTGAAAAGTTAAGAAGGCAGTTGTAGGACCAATATGTGTTAAACTATAAACCATTTTTCTGTCTTGGATTTTTCACTTCCTGGTTAAAGCCATCTTGTCCAGGTTGATCTTACATTTGTACCCTATCGTTTTTATCCCAGTATCTATCTGTTCTATATCAAATTTGTTCAGAGTACTCATTATCACCCACTCTATAAAACCCATCTAATGTGTACAAGAATTATATTGTCTTGCACTTGGCTACCTGGGTATATAACAATAACACGTATATTAAACTTTTGCTTGGCTCTTCGATAATGTTGATATAGATTATATCCATGTTAGCTTTCTCACTGTGTATGCAGACTTACTGCATTGTGCTAATCACTTTATTTCAACAAACTGTGCTGTCAGTGGTATTGCTTCTGTCCATTCACTCCTTTAAGAAGGTGCTCATATTAAACCTTGTTAAAACCTTCAACCACTTAAGCTATATTGTTTATGTGTACATGTTTCCATTCCATAGTTTTATTTTGTGTGTGAATATGTTATACACATTCTTACACATTTTCTTCATATTGGTATGGATCCAGACCACTGATTGATGAACCACACTCACCCTTCTGGTCTCATCCCTACTACCTGTAACACATTCTTTTTTTTTAAATATACCCAATAAATTCTTGGTTTTTGTTTTTCCCATCTAATGACTGTCTCCTAAACATCTCAGACGCTCTTTTGATCTCTTTTGTATCCCAGTACTGTTCTCCCAAAATCGCGTGGCCTTTTGTGACTCTACATTAATATGACAGTAGCAATCCATCTGAGTTTCTTCCTGTAGATGATATCTTCAATAATGTATGATATCCTAATGATAACCTATTCTAGATATAATTTAAGTAGTGGGGCTGCCTGGTTGCATGGTGGTTAGGAGGTTGGATCCCTCATGGCTGGCTGTATTGTTCGAGTCTGGGATCCAGTGGCTTGAAAAACACACGGCACCTGTGCGTGTGTGCCCAAAATCTTGAAAGGAGAAATGGAGGAGAAGCGATTTTGGTGTGTCATCCCATGGGGGATGTCTTCTCTTCTTTTTTTCCAGTAAGCACATGGACCCTCTGGCAAATTAAAAAAAAAAAAAAGTTTTATTTGTTTAGGTTTTTGCCATAGGGCGTGTCTATTCACCCTTGAGAGACAGAGACAGAGACGGAGAGGGAAGGTGAGAAATCATTCCCCCCCCCCAGCCCCCCCAGGGTGACTATGCTGCAGTCCTTTCTTCATTCTTCTGGGATTTTGGGTACACACTCACATGCACCTGGCATGATATTCAGGCTGCCAGGTCCAGGACTCTTAGCTGCAGTCAGCCATGTGGGAATCCAACACCTTAACCACCACAGCACCTACTGGCCTCCAAAAACTTTTTTTTTCCCCTAGAAAGAATTTTGCCGTAGGGCACATACGCTTGCCAGAGAGACAGACAGACAGAAAGTGAGAAATCGCTCCCCAGGAGGGATGGCCATGCCAGTTTCTTCTCCTCCATTCTCCTTGGGATTTCAGGCACAGATGAACATTTGCCCTGCGCGAGTTTTAAGCTGCTGAGTCCAGGACTTGAACTGTGGTCAACTATATGAGAGTCCAGCAACAGAAGCTTTGTGCCATCTGCTGGTCTCACAAAGAAATATTTTAAGTAGTATTATTTTCCATCTTTCTAATTTGGGTTTTTTTGGGGGGGAGTGTGTTTTAATAGTGCACTCTTGTGCTATCTACAAACCAGGCATTTGTTTCTTGTTAAAAGTTACTTTAGCCTGGGGCGGGGCAGGTGGCATGGTAGTTAAGGGTGCCAGACCCCCCACATGGCTGACCACAGTTCGAGTCCCAGATTTGGCCATTTGCTTTCTCACTTTCTCCCTCTCTCTCTTTCTCTCGCTCACTCTGTCCTTTTCTGGTCAAGTTTTAAAAACTAAATAAATTTAAATAAATTAATTATTTAAAAAAAGAAAGTTACTTAAGCCTAAATTCAGAAGATCAGGGTTTGATTCCTATAGGAAGCTGAGAGTTAAATAATCATAAAATCAAGAACTAGAGAGGATTGACCTTTTTTAGAGCTGTAGCAATTTCTTGTAATCTTTGGTGGTTCACTTTCTCCTAATACTGCCTTTGGTGCCCTGAAACCTTATTGTTACAATTTTAAAGTTTTTCTGTAGCACACTTGTTTTCTGAAGAGAGAGGAAAAGTGAGAAATCATTCCTCTGGGGTAAACCCACGCCATAATCTCTTTTCCATTTTCCTCTGGGGATTTCTGGTATGCATGCACACACATGAACACGCCTGGCATGATTTTCAACCCTCTGGGGATTTCTGGTATGCATGCACACACATTTTCAACCTGCTGGTTCCAGGACTTGAACTGTGGTCAGCCATGTGTGAATCCATGACTTAATTACCACACAACCTGCTGGCTTGTAGAACCTTGTTTTCATACATTTATAATTATTTAAGTTTTGGGCCAGCAGATTGCATAGCGGTTATGTTGCTGGTCTTCCACACGGCCAACTGTGGTTCAGTCCTGGACCCAGTGACTTGAGTATCACACCAGATGCCTGTGTGTGCATGTCAAAAATCCCAAGAGGGGAATGGAGGAGAAGGGATTGTGTGGCCATCCCTTTGGGGGGTGGTTTCTCATTTTCTTTCTCACTGTCTCTCGTGAATGCATGTGCCTATGGCAGAAACCTCTTTAAATAAAGAGAATTATTTTTTTCTTTTGAGAAGTATTTTATTTAACTTTATGTATTAACTTATTTTAATTTGACCAGAGAGGGACAGAGCAGAGAGAAAGGAAGGGGGGGGGGGAAGTGAGCTGCCAGATCTGCGACTCAAACTGGTTGGTCATGTGGAATCCAGCACCCTTAACCCCCATGCCATCTGCCAGCCCGGAATTATTATTTTTTTTAAAGAATTATTTTATTTAATTTTATTCATCAACAACATTATTATTTTTAATTTGACCAGAGAGAAACGGAGATAGAGAGAGGGAAGGTGAGAAAGCAAGCCACCACGTCCAAGACTCGAACCATGGTTGGCCAAGTAGGAGTCCAGTGCCCTTAACCACTACACCACCTGCTGGTCCCCCAAAGAATTATTAACTTAATCTTATTTATTACCATCATTACTTTTTTTTTTTTTTAATTTGATCAGGGTAGGGGGGTCAAGTTAGAAAGAAAG